TAGGGTTAAAAAAAAAAAAAAAAACAAAAAAATCGATCATGGATTACAAAAAATTCTATTATGGGTTACAAAAAACCAAAAAATTCGATCATGGATTACAAAAAAACAAAAACAATTCGATCATGGATTACAAAAAAATCGATCAAGTATTACAAAAAAATCTATCATGGATTACAAAAAATAAAAATAAAATAAAATAATAATAATAAAAATAAAAATAAAAATAAAATAAAAATAAATAAATAAATAAATTCCGTATAGACTCGCCGATTCACTGTTCGGACTCGCCTATTCCGTACAGTGAATCGGCGATTCACAGTACAGAATCGTTCGGTTCTCTCTAGAACTGGACGATTTCCGATTTTTTAGGCGATCCGGTTCCCTTTTCACGATTTCCTAGTCGAACCGGACTCGCCGGTTCGACTCGACGTTTTTTAAAACACTGTTTACAACCATTTAATATGAAATTTGATAACTTGAATGTGTATTGAAGCTTGAGCTTTGTCAATGGAATAGTTGCAATCCTTCAATTTCACATCCAACGGTCATGATTAATGTGACCATTTTGTATTAAAGGTAAATGGTCTCATTTTATACTTTCCTTTTAAAGAGGGATATTTTTAATTTTTTCCAAAAAAAATATGAAAATGTAAAAAAAAGTATTACTAGTCAGAATAATTTTCAATTTTTGTCAAAATGATGAAAAATATTAAATAATACATTTACAAACATAATCCCTTATTTTTTTGGATTTTATATATTTTTAAATTTTTTTTAAAAATTTTCCTTCCAGCTCACCAAAACCGACGAAAATCGATCGGTGGTTAACCACCCGATTTTTTCCTACAGTGCTCTCTCTTATTTCATATGTTTTGGGCTCTTTCTCTCCCTGTCTTTTGGTGGAATTTTGGTCCCTAATCGTTTTGGTGTTCAACTAGAGGTGGAGGGTACTACCATCACAACCCCCGCATTGGAATTTTCTATTTTTGTGTTTAGTTTATTCATTGGGGGCTCGGGAATTTCGATGGATGAAAATGCTCCTTTTTGTTTGGCCTTCATATGGGAAAATGCTTTCCGTCTCTCTTTCTCTCTTTCAAACAGTGACATTACCAGTGTCTCCTCCCTTTGCATCTCTCCCTCTTGTCTTTTTGCTTCAGGAACGTGTCCTTCCCCTTTTTTCTCATTCTACTACTTCGATTTTCCTCTCTTTATTGTCATAGTCCTTTCTCTCTCTCATCCCAGTGAGATTCCTCTCTCTTAAATATCAGAGTCTTAGTCCTTCCTTTCTCTCTCATCGACTAAGAAGTTCACTCCATATAAATATTTTGTTAGTTGAATCCTCATTTCAAAGTGGTTTTCATGTTCCTTCCTTCCCATCTGTCACCTATATCCGAACCTAGGGGTGTAAATGGTTTGGATCGGGTCCGTGTCGACCTTTACCCTACTCGAGCCAAATTTGGGTCTGATCATGTCATTGAAGCCAGACTTGATCAAACCCAACCTGATTCGGTGCAACATGGACATAGACCTGATTTTAGGTCTAGGTCAAATGAATCTAGACCTTATCCTTTGGACCCACTGATAAGGTCCAACCTTGGGCTTGGGTCGCATGGACTTGACATGATTGCCGTCGCTTTGAACCTCGGTTTTTTTTCCACTCGTATGCTGGGCCACACCATAACTTTTTTTTTTGAAACATTACGCAAGTTTCATTGAGCTAATAAAGAGATCACATCCGCCAGAAAGAAAAAAAAAAAAAAAAGAAAATTAGAAGAAAGAAAAGAAAAATAAAAAAAACAAGGCGAGGAGGTGAGTACACCATAACTCAGCCTTAGCATGGGGGGGGTGGTGGCTGATGGGAATTGGTGGTACTTGAATAGTGGGTTTCTTAGTCTTAGAATCAGTGGTCTAATTAGGACTTGACGATTCCGATAATTATTTGAATTGGAACAGTCTATGTTTAATTCAATAATTAAAATCCTAAGCTAAAATTTGGGATTCAATTTGTCAATTAATTTTTATGGAACCCGAATTAAGTAAAATTTGGGTAAAATTTGGGAAATTTTGAGTAGGATAAGTGATTTTTCTAGCTCAAACTTGAATTAAGCTCTAGTCCTATAAATAATAACAAGCCTTTTATTTGAGGAATAAGTGTACAATTTGCTCTTCCACAAAAACACTCTACATGAATATTTTAAAATCTAGCAATTTTTTATTCGGATTACTGATCCAGATGGGAATCAGTCAGGATCGAACCAGTTTCGGGATGATATGGGTCCCGGCATAGTTTCCCTCTAATGTATCATCCTCTTCCACCAAATATATATATATATATATTAATCATATTAAATGTTTTCTTGAGTCCCTTCTATATCCCTTCTTTGGTACCTATATTCTAATTTTAATTTAATTTAAATTTTTTGGATCACTAATTCATACCGATCCATGCTTAATTTGGATCGTCGATCTAACAATTCGACATGGATATATGGGTGACAATATGCTCCACAAATCCAGGTTTTGAAACACTGGTCGCTTCTTCTAAATGGACGATCTCTCCCGCTCATTCAAAGTTTCAAACTTAGCTATATATGTCAAAAGACTGAATTGATTTTGCACAACATTTTGGGATCTTTAAATGACAATGGGCAATTGGGTTTGGAACTGTTATACCTTTGCTTTTGAAAGATATTAGGAGTTATTTCAAAATAATACTACTTTTAATCATAGTCTTTAGAAGGAGAAACAATGTATTATTATATTGAGAGAGGTGATGGGTTTTAGTCCCATGTTGAAGAATGATAGAGTTCAAGTAATGTCTAAATATGTGACTTTTTGGTGTGTTCAAAAAGTAATTTTCTCTCTCTATCAATAGCTTGTGACTCACTAATTTGGTGCACTAAATTTTGTTGTATCTATGCATTTCTATAGGCAAGATAGGTGCTCAATAATTTGTTTCTATATATGTTGAGGACAAATTGGCATAGAAAATTTAGATACGCATGGATTTAGATAAGCAAGCGGGCAAATACTGTATTGAAAAAGTAAGTATTTATGCCAAAAAAAGAAAAAACATAATGTTCGTAATGTTTTCAAAATACTTGTCAACTTACTTTCGTATTATGTGTTTCATTCATGCACTTCTAACATGGACTAATTTCCGAGACCCTCATTTCATGTCTTTAAAATCTTTCAAGGACTACATATGCCAGAGTTTGTTACCGACCATGT